GGGGGGGGGGGGGGGGGGGGTTGGACTAGATGACCTATAAGGTCCCTTCCAACTCTGATTATCTGTTATCTGAGGAAGACGTTCCTTACCTTCTGAATGGCTCCATCAAAGCTAGCAGACGCCGCGGCAGCCCGAGCCAGTTGGCTGAAGTCCGGTGCGCCCCCGACGTAGAGGGGTTCCTTTAAATTAAGGGAGGTGTGGGGCAACTGGATAAAAGGGGGGAAAAAAAACAATCCACTGAGAATGGAGGTCACCAAGAGCGGGAAGGAAGATCTGGCAATGGCATTCAGCCGCTACAATCAAACTTCTTAAGATGTCCTTGGAGTCGAGCAGACGTATTGCAGCGCAGTACAGTTTTCATGGAGGACAGGACCTTTATAATTATATTTAACTGATGGTTGATTAGACCATGTTGTAGGAAGGGATGGGGGCGTGTCCTCAGCAAACCAATTTAGCAATAATAATAAACCAACCCAACAGATTTTTAGTAGCTTTCCTCGGTGTCTTTAATCTTCTGTTAACCCACGGAACAAAAAGCATGCCAATCAAAGTTGGGTATTAAGAAGGCGGTTAGCTCATTACAGCTGCAAAACCAACAGCTTGTTAAGAGATTAAATCTGGTCCTATTTCCCCACCCCCACCCCCCCGGGGGTTCAGTCCTGCCAGAGATATTCTAAATCAGTGGTTGCCAACCAGTGGGCTGGGGACCGTTGGTGGTCCGTGAGAATATTTCGGTGGTCCGCAGAGAAATGTCGCCCCCAAAGCAATTGATCCAGGCTGCGCGGGAACACAAGGCTGCGCCACCCATATGGCCCGCGGGAAAAGACAGAGGGGGGGAATTTGCCCCACTCACCCCATGTGTCTTGCCTGGCCACCGGGCTGCTTCTTTCCCCTTCTTTCTTCTTCTGCTTTTGGCTGCATGCAAAGAAAGCAGCAAAAGTCTTTCTTTCTCACCCCCAAACTCCGCCAGAAATGGGACCCCACAAGGCCTCCTGCTCCGAGAGGCTGCGCCGGCAAAGACTCGTTTCTGGCGGAGTTTGGGCAAGAGAAAGAAAGACTTCTGCTGCTTCTGCTGTTTTTCTTGCACGAAGCCAAAAGTCTCTCTCTCTTTCTCCCCCCCCCCCGCCCCCGAGAACGGAGCTGGAGATGGTATCCTGCGATCCCAAATAAAGAACAATCGATCGGTAGGAAAACGGGGTGGGGAATTTTCCTGCAGACTTTTTGGGGGATTTTCCCAGGGTCTCTGGTCCGCGGGATTTAAAATTTACGAGTTTGGTGGTCCCTGAGGTCCAAAAGGTTGGCGACCCCTGCTCTAAATCAAATCTAAATGTTGAGAATCAGTGAAACTATTGTGGCAAGGGAAGGACTGCTCCAGCTTCCCCGATCATAAGCCATGGTTTAACGAACCCTTATTTGCCCTTTAATCAAAGGCACCATCGCTGCTTCAAATTCACCGTGTTAAAAAGGGAACTATCTAATGTGTGAAAAGCATTAATGATGGAAAATGGCTCGAAGTTGGGAAGGGGAGTGGAAGCCACACACAACTAATTATTGTGGATGCGGAGGCTCTCTTAATTAGAAACAAGGAAACATCTATGTTAAAAGAGGGGATTATACAACAGGGGGGGAAAAAGAGACAGATTATAGTCTATTAATATTACCGGTGTTGGGGATAGGGAAGGCAAAAATAAATACGGTTCACCACAATGGAAATGAGATAATGAGGATGAAAGGGGTGGTTATACTTATCTCTTTACCTTACGAGATTTCTGACATCCAGACAGCAAGAGAAAGGAGGAGGAGGAAGAGGAAGAGGAGGAGGAAGAGGAGGAGGAAGAAACGCAAACAGGAAGCAAAAGAGAAAACAGAGAAAGGATCAGTGATATGGACACCACCACACCACGCCTCGTTTTTGGAGGCTTGGCCCTTCTTGCAATCCACGTGATTTATCGTGTGGATCAAACAAAAGAAAAAAAAAGAGCACATTGATGTAACGACTGGACTAAACACACACTGTGTGCAAATGCAGTCAGATCGTGATAAGGTAACTCTGGGGAAGCCTGCGGGAGGCTAAAAGAGAGGAGGGGGAGGATTGCAATCCTTGCCTGAATTTAAGGGTCAACTCATAAAATATTTCTCTGGTTATTTCTCTGAAATATAAAAATACGTTTTTTTTAGAGTTGCCAACAGAAAGGGGAGGAGGGGTTTTTAAAGAGCAGTGCAGCAGCTTGCAAAACCGAAAGTACATTCCATAAATGTTTTCAAAGGTGACTAAAGTTTCTACCATGACAAATTCTAACTGGAGAGCCTGATTGATCACTCCTGGCTAGGGATGTGTCCCATTGGAGAATACGAATTACGATGCACCCAGAGGGTGGCGGGGAAAACCAGGGTCAAGGGTGACAATGAATTATGGTGTCTCAGAGTCGGCTGCACCCAGGCAGTGCCGACATGTTAACTCCCAATAAATCCTTTGGAATTTTTAGAAGTTTGGCTCCAGACTCATGATTTAAGTGCTGGAATCCTGACATTAAGAGACTGCCCACCCGCCCACCCACCCCCAGGATCCCAAACTGTTCCAAACTGTTTTCGAGAGTGGATTTAATTTACCGGCGATTCACCAAGCGTCCGTTCCCCGTTGTTAATCCTCATAATGCCCTTCCGCGCGTTCCTCTCCAGCGAAACACTGACCCAGGTATTCAGAGGGATGGGGTCTCTGCTCCTGGAGGGAAGAATGCAAGATATAAAACAAGAGAAAAAAAGACCAGAAACGAGATTCATTCTATTCTGTCTCTGAAAGCCGTTAAGCCAGGTGTCTTCAAACTTGACAGCGTTAAGACATGTGGACTTCAACTCCCAGAATTCCTCCTCCAGTCATGTTAGCTCAGGGATTCTGGGAGTTGAAGTCCCACAAGTCTTAAGGCTGTCAAGTTTGAAGGCCCTTGCATTAAGCTAAGCTGGTCCCCTCACTTTCACGAGGGGAACTTTTTAAAATCAAGTCAAGAGTTGGTTTTGGAGAAGCAAGATAGGACGATACAATTCCATATGGTTTAGGTCTAATCCCCTATTTAAAATCTTGAGTCGTAATGATTTCCATGCCTCTGTGTATAATCGAGACGTTCTCTTTTTAAAATTCTTTATCTTTTTGTCCCCTATTAATTCATTTCAACATGAATAACATTGCTTTGCACCATGTATTTGATATCCCCTACTAAGTCACTAATATCTAATACTAGCTCGATACCCGTGCTTTGCCACAAAAATATGTAGTCAGGCTTAGTTTTGGGGGAGTAAAAGAAGGGGAAAAAATTGTGCCCCTGCCTACCATCATCCATCAGTATTTGTCTGGCTAGCATCCTGTCAGTGTGTGAGAGAGTTGAGGGCTATTTGGAAACTGAAACATTATTTGCTGTGTGAGCAAGAAGGAAACAGCAAGGAGCCTGGGCATGGCTTAGCTCAACTATTCTGTACTAAAGCTGGTTGCTGCTGTGAAACTAAAACTGAAACTCCTCTCCTCTGCTTGTGTTTTGCATTTGGAACAAGTTTCTTTTCAAGTGGGGAGGGGGAGTAGAACTCTTTAGCATCAGAGGGTGTTAATAATAATATACGAAATACTAATGCTTTGATAGCTGTTTCGGAGAATCCTTTCTCAGTGAGCACCTAGAAGCCAAGAGGAAAATACGTGCCAAAATTCAAGTTTGTAGGCTTTACGGTTCTGGAGATTTTGTGATGATGCTTGAGTGGTATTTTGCTTTTATATAGATAGGTTTTAAAAATTACTCATTATTCCCCCAAAATTTCAATATCCCAAATATCTAGGACTACTAATAAGGCCAAATATTAATAGAAGTTTAATCAACCCCGGGATTATAACTCAAAGCCCTCACAATTTCTAATCCTTAAAAGTTTTGCGCTCGCAATATCTTTTAACGCACGGAGTATTATTTTTCGTACTTGATTACAGCAGCTCCTTTGCCCAAGTCATATCTGTACTCCAGGTATCCATTGTGAAGGGCCAAAGAGATAAAATCTCCTTTTCCATCCGTCTTCTGTCCATTGTAGAAAATTAAACCGTTGGGATTTCTGCTCAGGAAAGCCACTTCCATGGTCATCTTATCCCTGTGGGAATAAACAGCGGCACATATTACCACATGTGGTGGACCTGTATAAAAACAAGGAAGTTTTGGATTCAAATACATACGTGGCTAGAAAAAAAAAAGACCAAACAACATATAGATTTCAAACCAGAATTGTTTTGACTAGGTATCACATCAGGGGGTTATGACAAAGGGACAATATATTTAATATTGCATATTTTGACTGCAGCAAGAATTGCACATGCACTGCAGTGGAAGAACGAAAACACCCCGTTAAGAGGATGGGACGGTAAGGAAGATACTAGGCTGTGCGGAAATGGACAGACGAACACTAAAAATAAAAGATAAAAGAGATAGATAATACTATTTAACGTGGATTAGGTTTTATCAATGGTTAGAAACAGGAGGTAGAAGTTGGAAGATGAAAGAATCAGGTGAGAGGGACTTGGAAAGAGAATCTGTATTATTGATAGAGGAATGTTAAGTATTAGAGTGACAGAGGAGTTGACATATTATATGATGGTCAGAAAATTTTGTACGAAAATTTGTATGCGTGATTGTACCTTATGATTCTTGACGGATGTATCTTCTTTTATGTGCACTGAGATCATTTGCACCAAGACAAATTCCTTGTGTATCCAATCATACTTGGCCAATAAAGAATTCTATTCCATTCCATTCCATTCCATTCCATTCTATTCTAACCTAATTCTATTCTATTTTATTTCATGACATATAGAGAAGATTTAACCACAGTTTCAATTGGGAAAAAATAATTTCCCATACTGGGAAAAAAAACAACAGAAGAAAAGAAAAGGTTTAAAAAAAAGAAGTAGGGCGTATGAATATTTCATCTGGAAATCTGACCTGATTCCTGACTGAATCCGATAGGGAATGAAGCTGAGGGTTTTTTGAGTTTTCAAACTGAATTAGAGGCCTCCAAACAGATTGCGGTGACTTCACTGCTTGTCAAATCCCCTCAATCAGTTTGAAATGATAAGATAACTTTTATTGTCTTTTTTTTTTTTTACGGTGACTGCGTTTAAAAAAAATGAAATTCTGTGGAATGAATTGATTCAGCTCTTAAATCAAAGCCAGGCCATCCCCTCTGAAAGCAGCAGGGCGAGACGTCTGAACAAACCAAACAGAATTGGAAGGGACCTTGTAGGTCATCTAGTCCAACCCCCCGCCCAAGCAGGACACCCTGAATCCCATTTTGACCCAATTCACACAACAATGTTACCTAGTTGGGTAATGAAACGGCTGCAAGAAAACAAGCCAACAACAAGGACCCCTCCTATCAATCCTGAACTATAAATATCCTTCCTTCCTTCCTTCCTTCCTTCCTTCCTTCCTTCCTTCCTTCCTTCCTTCCCCTTCCTTCCTTCCTTCCCTCCCTCCAGTACTAGCACTGATGATGCTACCTAGCTGGGTAATGAAACGTCTTGCAAAAGAACAAGCCAGCTCCGAGAGCATCGAAGACACCCCACCAAATGGGTCTAATTTTCTTGAAACAGCGAGGAAGGGAAAGGAAGAGACAAGGAAAAGGAAGAAGAAGGACAAAAAACATACTGTAGCTCCGGCACAAATGTTTGGAGACCGTTCAGCTCCAGGTATGAGAATCCATTGAATTCCGGCAGAAAAGGCACGGTCTGGTCCATTTCTGCAACTAAGAGAGGGAAGGAGAAAAAGTCACTTACTGGATGCGTGCTGAGCGCTGGTTGGTTGAATAAACTAGGTTTGTTCCATTAGCACAAACATACTGCAAGCTGCCTGATCTGTGGATTGAAAGCTCCCATGAAAGGGTCTTGGGATTAAAAGCAGAGGATATTTCTTTGTTTTAAATGTTTAAGGAAATGTCAAGAGACCCTTGGAAATTCTGGCTGGGGGAAATCTTATTTGGGAGTAGGACAGCGTAATACCAAAGCTTCCTTCACGTTCTACCCCGTTTCCCCAAGAATAATATTGGCATAATATTGGCAGGAGCATAATCAATCTTATGCCAGGACAGCTAGCTGGGGGATTCTGGGAGTTGAAGTCCACCCTTTTTTCAACTTGCCAAGGATCTTTCTTGCAACTCTGATTTCAGTGACTTGTAACTAGATAACAGATCATCAGAGTTGGGAGGGACCTTGTAGGTCATCTAGTCCAACCCCCCGCCCAAGCAGGAGACCCTACACCATTTCTGACAGATGGGAGTCCAATCTCTTCTTGAAAGTTACAAGTGACGAAGCTCCCACAACTTCCGAGGGCAACTTCTGTTCGATGGGTTGATGGTTCTGTCAGAAAGTGTCTCCTTATTTCCATAGTTGAATCTCTCCTTGTTCAGTTTCCATTATTATTCCTTGTCTGGCATTCAGGTGCCTTGGAAAATAGCTTGACCCCTTCCTCCTCTCTATGGCAGCCCCTCAAATACTGGAAGGCTGCTCTCGTGTCTCCCCTGGTCCTTCTCTTCTTCCCTAGACTAGCCAGGCCCAGTTCCTGCAACCGTTCATCGTATGTTTTAGCCCCCAGTCCCCTCATCATCCTGGTTGCTCTTCTCTGTACTTTTTCTAGAGTCTCAATATCTTTTTTATAGTGTGGTGACCAAAACTGGACACAGTACTCTAGGTGTGGCCTTACTAAGGCTTCGTAGAGTGGTATTAGTACCTTACTTGATTTTGATTGTATCCCTCTGTTAATGCAGTTTAGGATTGCATTGGCTTTTTTGGGCTGCTGCTGCACACAGATGGCTCCTATTTAGCTGGTTGTCCACTAAGACTCCAAGGTCCCTCACGCAGTTCCTGCTATCGAGCCAGGTTTCACCTATATTCTGCTTGGACGCTTCAAAACCTCTATCACAGCTGCACCCTAATCCCACCTTTCCCTGGTACCGCTGACCTGATTCGCAGAATTCGCCTCCTCGTCCCATGGGGCATTCGCATTTCGATCCGCCTTCTGGCAACACCAAGCAGGTGGCAGAGAGATGGCACGGATTGGGGTCACAAGGGTTTCTCTCATCAGCACAGGTGGGTCCTAGGGCACATGGCCAAGAGAGAAAAGTGTAGCTAGGCAGCCAACTCTGGATGGGCTCTGAACGGATTCACACAATTGTTTGCAAGAAAAGCTCAGAAAGCACTAAGGACTCCACAGTCCTCTTCCTCCTCCTCCTCCTCCTCCTCCACTCTCTCTCTCTTTCTCTCTCTCTCTCTCTCTCCAATCCTCGTCTCCACCCTTCTAGCACTGATGATGTTACCTAGTTTGGTCATAAAACGTCTGCAAGAAAATCACCCAGCTCAGACAGCACCAAGGACCCCACAGTCATTCTCCTCCTCCTCCCTTCTGAAAACCCCACGCCCTCCTAGCACAGATAATATTACCTAGCTTAGTCATGAAACGTCTGAAAGTTCAGAAAGCATCAGGAAAACCCCATAGTCCCTCCTCCTCTTCCTCCTCCTCTGGTTTGGCTGGAGTTGCCGGCAGCCCACAGGCCACACCACAACCTCAGAGAGCACCAAGGACTTCACAGTTCTACCCTGAACTACAAATATTCTCTTCCATCGATCATTTTCAATGATTTTCACAAGAGCAGTGGATTGGGGAAGAGAGCCTAGCCTCTTCACCCCTCTGTGCATGCAGATAACTAGCTTGCGGGGGGCGGGGGGTGGGAACGCTGCCTCCTTGCATTTAGAAAGCTAGTTCTGCAGCTGAAAGATCTCTCGCTTACACACACACATACACACACACACACACACACAGAGGTTGGGCCCACCTGTATAACCATGGAGACACTCGCAGTGGAACATCTCGGCCTCCATGGTGTGGCAGAGCCCGCCGTGGTGGCAGGGGTTGGGCTGGCAAGGGTTGTTGCCACATTCGCCCACGCCGCTGCCGTACAGCACGTCATCGCCTTTCTCTCGCAGGTCGTACATCTGGTTGTTGACGTCCAGCAGGCGGATGCAGCCCTTCAGGCCCGCGGTGACCGATGTGCGCTCGGCCACCCTGGGATGGAGACAGACAAGGACATTGTCAACTCATCAAATATTTCTCCGGTCTTGTTAAGTGAATTTCGCCCCATGCTATGACCTTTCTTGCGTGCAGTTATGATGTGCCGTTGTTAAGTCAGTCACAGGGTTGTGAAGTGAATTTGGCTTCCCCATTGGCTTTGCTTGGGGATCACATGACCCCAGGAGGCTGCAACTGTCATAAGTACATGCCAGTTGCCAAGCATTTGAATTTTGATCATGTGACTGAGGGGGATCCTGCAAGCATCATAAGTATGAAAACTGGTCACAAGTCACTTTTTTTTTTGTAACTTTGGTCCATAAATAAATGGTTGCAAGTTGAGCACTGTCTGAATTACTGTCTTAAGAACCAAAAAACAGAGGGAAAAACTAGCAGTAACCCAGCTGTTTATTAAGCAACCTGAAAGGAAATGAATATGCATCACGGTAATTAAAGCAAATGAATAAAAAAAAAAAACCTAGGGCTCCACATCCTATGAATACAGAACTAGGACAAATCTGTTAGCATCTCATCAAATCAAAAAATTACACCCCACCCCCCACAAAATTGCTGTATTTCCTCATTTTTGCAGCCTTAACAAGCTTTTGAAAATCAACAGGGAGATTGCATGGATTGTTTTTTTCCTCAGCCCTTCTCCTGTTCAAATCCCCTTCTCTGCTTTTCCTTCCCCCAAAGGGGCTGGATGTTTGTGTCTTCACACCCCTTTGGGCAGTTGAGAACGACACTGGACTAGATCCCTTCCAGCTCTGTTATTCTATTATTTTTTTAAAAAATAAACTTTATTAGTCTTTGATGACTTTTTAAAAAAACAAACAAAGAGTACAAATATCTTAACTTCAACAGTTGGAGGCATTTGTCTTATACTACTATTTTGTGGATTATTTACAAAATATATACTATTTTGCAAATATAAACATTAGTTGATATGTTGCTTGTCATTAACTTTTTCATCATCCATTTATCTATCTTTGCTCAATCCAGTCATACCATTTTCCCCAAGTCTTATAATACTCAGTCTCCTCTTTCTCTTGTAACATCAGAGTTAATTTATCCATCTCAGCACAAGTCATTATTTTTTGATTGATCAATTCATCTGGTGGTATACATGTATGTTTCCAGCACTGGGCATAAGCAATACTGGCTGCGGTTAAAATATATAGTACTATATATTTTATATTTCTCCCATGTTTCTTTTTGAATATCCCCAATAAAAATAATTCCGGTTCTAGCTCTATTGGTTCATTAATAATCTCTTGCAACCATTGTTTAATTTTCAACCAATATTTTTGGGTCTCCGGGCAGGACCGCCACATGTGATAGAATGTACCTTTTTTTTCTTTTCATACTTCCAACATGCCAGATTCATGTCGGGATCCATCTTCACCAATCTCGAAGGAGGTTGTTATTCTCATTCTAAAGTTAACTCTACTCACACATCAATTTGGTCTTCCGGGGCTCCTCCGACAAAGAGGTCAGTGTCAAGATTCAGCCCATCGGTTCCACTTGGGCTCTCGCCATGTATGTGGGGTTCTCCGTCCACGGACAGCACGCCGTTCCTCCGGTTCCGATTGACCACTAGGGCATGCCACTGGCCCGGCTCAATGGGCACCTTGCTGGTGATCACGCCTGTCCCCGAGCCGGTGTTGAACCTGGGAGAGATGGTCACAGGTTTGACTGATAGTTATTGAACAGCCTAATTCAAGGAGATGTAACTGGGAAATATGATCAAAGATAAAGATTTCCCCTTTCTAATTGTACGTGATTCTAGGGGGTGCTGTCTATCTATGTTTCTCAGCTGAGGGAGCCAGCATTGTTCGGGGAAGCTTCCGTGGTCGTATGGCCAGCATGACTACATGCCAAAGGTGCACAGAATGCTGTATAACCTTCCCACCAAAGTGGTACCTATTTAACTACTTGCATTGACAAGCTGAGCGTCTTGAAGCACTGAGCCCCCGTGCCCCTTGGAAATATAACAGCCCTCTGCTATTCCCAATGCATCCCGATGAAGACCACAAGAGTATCATTTTGAAGGGGTGGGGGGGAGGATCAAAAGCTTCCTAGCACAGCACGCCAATCCCCCCAAATCCTTCATTAGATTTTGATCAATGGGACTGGATCAGTCCAGGGGCTCATTTTTAGATGGAAGGCTGAGTCAACCATGAGCCGTTCAGGATCAAACTCGAGGCGGTGGGGCAGAGCTAGCCTGCAATACTGCATTCTCACCGCTGCGCCACCAAGGCTCCTGGCAGAAACCAATGACTTTATTTTACGGCAAAGGAAGAAGATGGCATTCCGCTTTCCTCAACGTCCCTCTTGCCGAGTTCTCATTTGGGCCTCAGACTGGTCTCCAACCGCACAAAGAACCCGCTGGCCTGATCTGGCTTCGAGGAACACCTTCCCAGCCCTACCCTTCCTACCCTCACCATCAGGCCACCCCTCACCTGAGCTCCACGAATCCGTTCACCAGCGCCAGGGAGACGAAGTCCTTCCCGCGGTTCTGCCCGTTGTACAGGAGCAACCCACTCAGCTCAGAGGCCCGGAATTCCATGGCGATGCGCACGGTGTGGTAAGCCTTCATCATTTTGAATGCCAGGTAGGACTTCCCGCCGAAGCTGGGGATGAAGTATCGGATGGCTGCGACGGGCAGAGAATTCACACGGAAAGGTGCGTGTTAGGATCCAAAGGAAGAAAGCCAGGCGGCTGCGGGGAGGGAGGATTTCCCCAGGGGTCCTGCGTTAATTCCTTATGCGAGCTTTTGTATCCGCGGGGATAAAAGCTCCATTTCTTTTGATGCACTCTCACCATGTGCTTTACATCTGCAAATCCTGTTCCTTTGAACGTGTTGCGGGATAAAAAAGACCCTTTCTTTAGAGAACATAGGTGTGATGCATTAACCCATCTCTCTCTCTCCCACACACAACCACTTTGGCTTCTAAGGCCCCATTCATTCGGAAAAACAGGAACGCACTTGGGGCCTTCTCAATAGCGGCCCCCCGCCTGCGAGTTCACTTGGCTGTATAATGCTGCCTCTTTTTTCTGGGGCTGCCTGGTGCTTACAGCCATTTGGGGAGGTGGGGGAAACGAAACATCAGTCATAAATAAATCAAAGGAAGCATGGAGGTTGTGTTGCCGGGGCTCCCAAGCAGAAATGGGGTGCTTCTCCCCAGATTTATAGTATAACAGGGCTGGAAGGGGACCTTGGATGTCTTCTAATCCGACCTCTACCATTTTGGATGAACGGCTCTCTTCTTAAAAACCTCCAGTAATGGTGTCCTGACCGAGCTCCCCAAACGCAACAGACCCACTGAAGTGAACTGAAACGATTCCTTTATTCGAAATGTCGGCAGCCCCAGTAAAAGTTTCTCTCTCAGGCTAACAAGTCCGTCCAGCTGAAAGATGAACAGTTGTCTGCCACATCTATCCATCTCCACCTCCCCCGCCTTTTATCCCCAGAACTAGGGTGGGGCTTCGCAAGCAGCGGTGTTTCTTTCGTCCTAAGGACCAGCCCATAGATTTCCACTGCTCTCCTCTCCTCTGCCTTCTGTGCATCCACGCATCAGGCACCGGGCCCAGCTGTTCCTTCTCTTCCTCATCGGCCACCTCCAGACCTGGGGGCTGTGGACTCTCCATCTGAGGGCTGATGGACAGCCCAGGCTCCGTCTCTCTCTCTCTCTCTCTCTTTCCCCCTCCCCCTTCCTTGCCAACTCCATTCCCTCTTCCCCCCACCCCCGGAGCTCCCAGGTTGCCTTGATGCTGACCCTGACTCCCACGCCTCCTCCTCCTCTGATTTGGCTGCTGGAGG